CCTTTCCTAAACTTATATTGTGTTTGAATGTTTACCATGCAATTTATTACAATTTTCACCATTAAAACAATTTATTTTAAATTTTGCTCTCAGAATGCAGGAAATGCTATTTCAGAGACTCAAATTTTTAAAATTTCCCTGGGGGGTATGGTCCCAGACCCCCCTAGCTAACTCGTGCCAGCGGTGCTAGGCTCACATCTTCGGCGATCACATACAATCTTGGGGAGGGGAGGGGAGGACAAGAAAAATGGGCCCATTGGCAGTTTTGCCCAACTACTGAAGAATCCTTAAAACATGCACTGAGTATACACATGTAAAATTATGACAAGAATTAACGATACATTACGATACGGTTTACATACAAAATTTAAAAAATAGTGTTTTTTCTCACAACGTATTTCAGAAAACGTTATAGTTCATTCATGTTATTTTTTCTGGATTAAATTTTTGCTTTTTCTTGGAAAAGCTTCCGCTGCATTTAAAATTTCAACCGCAGATATAACAAGAATAGTCTTTAGCTACGAAGACTTTGATTGATCTAAAGAATACTGCCAACAAATTGCTCTTTTTATTCGTTGCATTCGTATTCACTCCGAATGAAAGTGAGTCGACGTCGCTCTTGCAGTTACCACAAGAGGGATTCTAAATCTTAGAACGATTTTCCTACTTTAACCTTTCTCAGCAACCTCGTACACATAGATATAGAAGACCTAGATTGCTGACTCGGCTCAACCGGCGTGACATATTTTGAAAATCCAAGATGGCGGCTCAACCGGGCAAAAATCACAGAGCGAGATAGGGAAAAACCATGTTTTTTGCATTTTGCGTCGTCCTAAAGCTTCCGATCCCGTTATATCACTTTATTTTGGAAAGAACTAACTAGTGTGAAGGTTTTGGATGAAAATTTGTACAATCAGTACAATTTTATACTATGGTTAATACAAATTACGATTCAACCGGGCAAGATTGGGCAGGCCTGCAGTTTCGCGCGGTTTTCGTCTTTAGTTTCTTCCTGTGTATTCCTTCAGTCTTTTATGAGTTTTTCTCAAGTAATATTATATATTTCTAACTATTCCAAAAGCTATTACTGTTTATTTTGTTCTTTCATTGTTATTTCGACCAAAATACAGTATTTTCATCTGAAAATTCTAGGGCTTCTATTCCATCTGGTTTTTTTTTTATCGAAAAGAATGCTTGAAAGTCGGCCAGAATCGTGTTCAGTGTATTACTACAAGACAGACGTGGGATATTATTCGATTTTCCTTCCATAAGTAAGTCTATGAAACACACACACATCACATATTTGTACACTATAAGTCTATAACTTACATCATATAAACAGAATAATAATAGAATAAAAAGAATTTGTTTTGTAAATGCTGTAATGACAACGTCACAACAAATGTAGTTTTGAGTTTGGCAGCTACAATATAAAACTATTTACAGTTTTAATAAAAGAATATTAGACCAAAAGAGAACTTCTTGTTTTGATGTCTGTGTTAGGAGAGTCTCTCTCTATATATGCATGTTGACAACAACTTTCCTTGTCCTGTTCAAAGTCAAAAATGTTTTAGTTTTGTTCACATCAGTGAACCAAAAATACATCTTTCCCTTTGCACTATTGGATTTCCTATAACCAATCCCAGCCTGCTAAAAAATGAAATGGGCAGACTCAATGCCAATCAAATATTCATTCTTGTGTGAGAAACACTTCACACTGGATGATTATACTTCACACCCGATGATTATATTAATCCATGGTGTTGCAAGGTGCCCTACTTTATTATTTTACTCTGTCTAACGCCAGACGATTTTACTCATCAAGAGGAGAGCAGTGGCACTTAATGGGTTAACTGGCCTACCTGCAAATGTGTATAGTTAACCCATTGAGTCGTTTTGTGCCCTACTTAATTATTTTACTCTGGCTACGCCAGACAATTCTACTCGTAAGGGGAGAGTGCTGATGCTTGGGTTAGCTGTCTCAAGGGGAGAGTGTCCAAGGGAAGAATGCCGACTGCAGAGAGCAATCAATAAAATGCCAATCCAAGAAATATCTAAACGAAGATGCCGTCCCATCTATTTTTGATTATCAATGATGAATCAATCAGGTTTCTTGGAGAGAACTAGATACTAACTGTGAAGGTTTTTGATGCATACCAGACACATTAGGCAGTTTCTTCAAACTAGTTTCCATTGAAAACTTTCTTTGTCACTAGTTCTCTCTACAAACCTGATTGATTCATCACTTTTCACTGTCCAGGCCCTATAGACTTGAGATCCCTTGACATCTGCAGCAGCAAGGAGGTTGTCAAAGTCACACTAAACAGAGCATCAGAATTTTCGCACCAGCAGACCAAATAAATCAAGTAAAATAGGTTTTAACTTCAAAATACTTCACAATATTATTCCCTGTTTTATATTCCAACCGAGATCCTCGAGAAAAAAAGCACCCAAAGAACCAAAACCTTTATTTTCTGCAACAAAATGTCTCGAACTGCTCAACCGACCATTGTGACGATTTCAGAAAACATTTAGCGATCGATTATTTCGTCTTTATTAAACTTAAATTGCACAAATATTCATCCAAAACCTTCACACCAGTTAGTTCTTTCCAAAATAAAGTGATATAGCGGGATCGGAAGCTGTAGGACGACGCAAAATGCAAAAAACATGGTTTTTCCCTATCTCGCTCTATGATTTTTGCCCGGTTGAGCCGCCATTTTGAATGCTCATGAGTGTCACGCGCGTGCATTATAGAAAACATTAGAGTCAGCAATCTAGGTCTCCTATATCTATGTTCCAAACCCTCTCATTATATTAACTATGATCAATTCGATTTCTCCAGAGCTATGCCCACCCTTAACCTGCGAACGGGCATGCTCGGGGAACGAGATTGTTGTTTTAGGGGAAATCCCACATGAAATTCGATCCCAGGGCGAAAATGTACAGATTTTGACAAGACTGACAACGTACCGGCGTAAATCATCATTTTTCAAGCTGAAAAAAGGCGAACTATTAAACTTTCAACGTTTCTAATAAGCAAAAGCTCGAACATTTACTTAGAACAATGCGTCGTTCGTTAAAGTACATCGCTTTTGCGAGTGCTAGCGTGTTTTCATGTGCTCTAATGTACAAGACTCGTGGCGACAATAAATTCGGAACGTTTATATACGCTGCGGGTGATAGAAGGCCCAGAAGGAGCGCCAAAGACCCAAGGTATGTCATTCAATGCCATTTACTATTTAGAATCGCTTTGTTGTGGCCAGTCGGCGTTCTGTACTTCTGTCGTGTTACACGCTATTACGATGTTGTATACACCCTTTTCATAAATGGCTGCCGATTAAAAATTCTTTTATATGCATATAAATTGGCCCAACTAGCCTCGTTTCTGGGTAGAAATTCCTTTGAAATCTTAACATGAGTACGAGGCTAGTTGGGCCAATTTATATGCACATAAAAGAATTTTTAATCAGCAGCCATTTATGAAAAGGGTGTATTACGCTGTTAATAAACGAGCAGGAGTGCTTTATTATGCACCTATCATTGTTTTCTCCCTGAGAGGGGGGGTGCGGGCGACCCAGGGGACTTTGACCACACTATGAAGCCCCAGTGAGGGGAATTTTATCAACTCCCAGAGTCAGGAAATTTTGACATCCGCCAAAATTGGTTTGCGCAGTTTTGACATTAAGAGGCCTGGTAACAAGTATGGCGGAGAAGCAAGCAATCTCGAAACCAGAGCCCGCAATCCTCTGTGGAGGCTTGCTGAGGCTCTAGGAAACACCGGTGACTTTTGCACGAAAATCAGTACATTTGGATCCAGTACTCCGCTCCACATTTATAAATAGACATTACTGCCACAGAATACTACACAGAAGTCCATCTCCATTGTTTTTAGCGTAAGCTCTATTCGTCATGATTCGTCACTCAGCAAGTACAGTAAACAGAAGCAGTTCCCCTCCTGGAAATACTAAAAATGGTGTATGTCCAGGGGGGTGACCGATTCTGTTTACGGTACTTGCTAAGTGACGAATCATGACGAATAGAGCTTACGCTTAAAACAATGGAGATGGACTTCTGTGTAGTATTCTGTGTTACTGCCGTCAAACATGAATTATGCTGATGCTTGTGATGTTACTCTGAGTGTGTATCCACACCGAATTCCGTATTCTTAGGACTTTTAGAAATAAGGCTCGGCAGAAAATCCGAGACTTGAAAATTTATTTAACAATTTAACTCATATTTTATATATAGAAATCTAACTTAGAAGGGTCAATAGTTTGATAAGAGTCAAATATTCAATAATATAAATAATATGTCAACTACACAACTAGTTTAGTATAAATAGTAGTCAGGGCCGCCGAGAGGGGGTGGAGGCAGGGGGGGGCAAATTGCCCCGGGCCCCGAGGTGCTGGGGCCCCCTGGAAATTTTTTGTTGGGCCCCAGTCATTTTTGTGGGTTAAATGTTGTTGTTTTTTTTGGGCTAAGTACCGAAATTTGGTATGAAAAATTGAGATAAAGGCCCTGAAAAGCAATTGCAACGTACATGTCCGGAAAAATTTTTTTGAACAAGGGAGGTGGCCCCTAAAAAAACTTAGGGGCCCCTAAAAAAAAATTTGCCCCGGGCCCCCGCCAACCTCTCGGCTGCCCTGATAGTAGTTACCAGAACAATGCCAATTTGTTCACCAAACTTTACAGTTAACACTGTCATTTGTCAACAATATAAAACAATAAAGCAAACGAATATTTGAAAAATATTCATTATTACGACAGTTTACTTAATAATTCTTTTCTTAATTCCTTTGTTTCTTCGTCAGTGGCGTATGACTTCATCTTGGCTGCTAGTTCCAACATTCCATTATGAACTCTTAAGCTGGCAGCAGTTAAGTGCTCATTCTTCATTCTCATCTTCGCCTGAAGTAAGGAAACCAATGACGTCGATTTCAAAGAATTTTTCTGATCCGTTTTAACCAGCTTAAGTTGGCTAAAAATTCTTTCAACAGATACATTTGACAATGGTAGTGAAGCCAGAATACTAACAAATGCCATCAACAGTGGATATTTTGCTTCGCCTCTTGGGGTCGTTGTGTCCCGTATGTTTAACCAGTATTCATCCCAGTGAAGTTCAGGCTTTGCCTTTGGCTCAAGTGCATGTTGTCTCCACTCCATATCAAGCTTAATTGTTGAGGTCGATGGTATCTTTCAAGTATGGTAATTTCTGACAAATGCTTCTCAATGAACGAGGCTTGAGTGCAGCGGCATTGGACGGTAAAAGGCACTGAACGATTTCGTGAACTGGATCATCTAAGTCAAATCGACTTTGGATTTGTAGAATGCTCTCGATGAGAAAATTCTTACAGGTCGTTAGGAAGTTATCAACATCAGCTTTCCCTGCCACGCTAGCAATTTCGTGGATAGTAGCCGTCGCTCCAAGGCCAACGTAGGTCTCGCTTGATGGTACGTGTTGGTTGACGTCAGTTGGGTTTAGCTTGTTTGGCGACGTTGACTTTACGATGTCGATTTTCATAAAGTCACAGGCAATTGACTTGATAAGGCTTTCTATTTCTGGTTTTAGCATGTGGAGGAGAGGACGCTCGCTCTGAAACAATCTGTTAAATGCATTAAGACGCTCGAGTTGATAGCTTAAGAACTCCAGATACGCCTGGGTAAAACGATTCTGTAATGATGCCAAAATGCGATCGTTTGAGTGTGATGGGTCTTCGTTGGCTGTCAAGGTGAAATAGCGGGTCAACGCTTCGAACTGTTCAAGTAGTCGGTTTACGCACTCTTGTAAAGAAAGCCACCGTGTATGCGCGGGTGATAGAATCTTGAGCGGTTGGGCATTAAAAAAGGCCTGGAACTCTTTATACACGTCTTGCCTTTTAGAAGATCGACTGAAATGCGCATATACATCTCTGCATAGATCCTCCACACCTTTGGGTAGTTTTAATGCAGCATGAGATGATACGAGATGGATAAGGTGACATGAACACTTCACGAGTTGGACGTAGCTAAACTCTGATTCGAGTAACTGCGAAACGGAGTTATACTGTCCAAACATCACATTTGTGGTATCGGATGAGTAACCTATGATGTTCCTCATAGGAATGTTGTGCTGTAGAAAGGTTTCTTTCATCTTTGCATAGATCCCAGTTGCACTACCATCTTCAGTTTCGATCATATCTACCAACCAGTACTGAACCTCGAACTTCTCAATGTCAAAAAACGTAGCAATGATGGCCAGTTGCTTTTTGACACTTTTGTCCGTTGCTTCATCGATGATTACACTAAACTTTCGTGATCGCAACAATGCCACCATTTCCTTGAGGTAATCAAAACCGAGCACTTGGCGAACGATGTTCGTGGCCTTCTGCTTTCCAAGTTTTAAATAACTTAACGCAGCATCATTTGGAAAAAGAGATCGAAGTAGTTCGACTATGTCTTCCGAGATTGACAATGGCAAGTTATGCTGGGTAATAAACGCACATAATTTTATTTCCATCGAAGTCGTCGCATCAGAGTTTGTTGTTTGACGCATTAGTTGGGCGATGGAGCCAGTTGTCGCGGACATCTTTATCCTTGCTTGATGTTTTTGGCTCGCAGCATGTCGTTAAATAGCGGTCATAGAACAAGTGAGCCAATTCGTGCAAAGTTTACAGAAGGGTTTCATTTCCCCGCTTGGTGCCGTTTTCTTACTAAGCCAGTTCTTGAACTCGGTGACTTGCAGCCAATTGTCCTTAAACACCCGTTTCCGTGGTGGACACTTACGTTTTCTCGGTTTTGCAGATGTTGCCGACGTGGACTGTTGTTCAACATGACTTCTATCAGTGCTGTCACTCTCACTGGTCTCACTTGCAGATCCCGAAAATGTTTCTAAATCGTCACTATACATCTTTAAATAAGTTTATGATTAACTCTCATCTTGCAGTAAATTCAACAGAAACCTGCAGAAAAGTATGTTTTGCAGCTGCTGTAACGGGATATCAATTAAAAACAAATAAGTATTTGGAAAAACCGAGAAAAGTAAAGAAATTTCGAATTTGTGAATTTCCTTTAAATTTCCTTCGAACTTCCAAAATTTCCTCCAAATTTCCTCCAAATCCGAATTTCCTTATAATTTCCTCCAACTAGAACCAACTAGTTAAAATTTCCTCTAAAGAGGAAATTTCCTCCAAAATGGAAGCACTGCTTTGAGGGCCGCTTGGGCCTGGGGACGAGGATGTTGAAAAACAACCAATCAGAGCCCGACTTTCACCGGTGTTTCCCAGAGCCTCAGCAAGCCTCCACAGAGGATTGCGGGCTTTGGTTTCGAGATTGGATCAAGTTTCATCGAAAAAGGTATTTTCACACAGTGTCTCAATTTTTACCAAGTTTAAACCAGTATAGACTGTATGTTTGCACTGGAAAACATACGTGTGCCTTGGTATCTTTTTGACAGACGTTCCTTGCCCAACAGTGGGGATTTTGACGACAAAATTTTAAAAATGTCAAAATTCCCCTGGGTTGCCTGCACCCCCCCCCCCCCGTGCATTAGGTTTAAAGCCACGAGCGTGCAGCGTGAGTGGCTTTAGACCAGGGCGATTCTTTAGACCTAATAAAACACGACCTGCGAGTTTATTAAACGGCTTCAAACACAAGTACACAACTACAATTCAACATGACATTCGATATCGTGTAAATTAACTAATTTCAATCACTCAAAAGTCAAAATGATAAATACAGCCATTTCCTTTCTCCCAAATGAATTAGAAAAAAACAAACCATGCAGGTCACATTAGGTAACGGTACCTTTATGGTTATCTGCCCACAAACCAACAAACACATCTCAGGGCACTCCAAAACAATACTTTCCTAACAGCTATATAGCCACACTACCAATAAATATTAAATACAATTTGCCAAGAATTATAAACTATAAATTTCTCCGCTGCTATTCTATAGGATTTTTTAAAATTTTCATATCTTGCACAAATTTATCTCTTTGAATTATTCGAATTTTAATGTTAAAAAAATTACTTGAACTGTACAGTCCGTAGATGGGTAGGGATAAAACGCTGAAACCGAATCGCGGAAACGGAAACTGAAAGCAGAAACTGAAATGGGGATAAAACGCTGAAATGGGGGATAAAACGCTGAAATAGGGATAAAACGTTGAAATGGGCAAATGTAACTTCTTGCAACCTGCAGTACAGTCACAGGGCCGTCCTCAGGAAATTCTTCAGGGGGGGTGTAATTCAATTCAACCGACGGGTTCAAATAAATTTTTCCGGAACAAAATTTTTTCGGCGACCTCCCTCCCCCCCCCTTCAGCGTTTTACCCCCATTTCAGCGTTTTATCCCCATTTCAGCGTTTTATCCTCATTTCAGCGTTTTATCCCCATTTCAGCGTTTTATCCCCATTTCAGCGTTTTATCCCCATTTCAGTTTCCGCTTTCAGTTTCCGCGATTCGGTTTCAGCGTTTTATCCCTACCCGTCTGTGGATGTTGTAAATTGCAATGACCTTTCAATACCTGGAGGTCCTCTCCAAAAAATATTTATTTTTGAAGCTTGATTACTACTTTTCTTGCATTTTCTGTAGCGATCGAAAAAATCTACCAATTTTAAGGGCATATATTCTGAAACTTTGCATTAAAGTCGTAATTGTACAGCTCATATTTTAGAACGGTCATATAATGAATGGATTTAGAACTTCACATTTTGTGTAGAGTTTCCACGATAATATTAGAGACCTTAAGATCTAGGACCGCAACGTGACGGCGACGGCTAGTAATACAATAAAATTAATAATATTTAAGAAAAGAAATGAACAATTAAAATCCCACGGGAGATTTAGACGTCGTCCACGATCTGTGTACAACCGGTGAACCAGAGCTTTTACGTCCTGTGTACAACGTTTGCATTTTAGTACGTAAGAAGTGGATACTCAGCAAATTGGTTCAGTACTAATGTGGAATTCTACTCAATAAAAAGCCTCTGTTTTGATCTCTTCAAGCTGTTTTAAATTCATACGATTGATAATATATGATAAGATTTCATTACAATCATTTATTTGGGTGAATTTGTTTTGGCCCTCGTCATCGCTTTGCCATCCTACATCTTAAGGCCGTTTTCCATTAACATTCGCTTTGCCCGCGCGGGCAAAGCGTTCATTAGGGAGCTTTAGATTTGACTACGAGTACGAGATTTGATCGCGTGCGAGGAAATTACCGTATTCGTTTTCGTTTCCATTGAAATGTTGCTTTTATAACAGTAAACCAACAACTAGAGAAAAAGTTTCATAAACTAAATCTCCTGCCGACTAAAATCCCCTACAAAACGTGTAAATAAGTCATAACATTAAAAACAGGCCAGATATTTAGCACTAACATATTATTTGCGCCGGATAAACGCTATATAAATGCTACAAATTATTTTTGGAAAACAAAAAAAAGTCAACTTTCTTTGTTTTTTTTTGAAAAGTCGTCGTGAGGACTACGAGGTTTCTCCACAATTTCGTACTCAGATGGGCGACGGCTATGACTTTTTCGCGTCAATACGGGATGGCGTAAGCATACAGCATGCGTTTAGCTTGACGAATCTCGTACTCGTAGTCGTACTCGTAGTCAAATCTAAAGCTCCCTATTGTTTTTGACGCCCGTCACGCCCGCGTGAGCAGATTTTCAAAGCCCGCTCCGCCCGCGCGGGCAAAGCGACTGCAATGGAAACCGGCCTTAAAGGTCCTTAATTTAATGACGGAACTCAACTCATGCACATTTTTCCACGCACAGTCAAGAATTCAATCATGCAAACCACCAAAATCCGGTGTTTCGCGGGTGGTCCACGAAAATGGTCCACGAGTGTAGTCCACGGACCTAGTCCACGGACCTGGGGTCCGCGTTTTGTCGTTTCCCTGGAGAAAGTACTGGAAGAACTCACATGCACATCACCATAGTACATTGATCTTAACCATTCATATACAAATACTCATTCTTTGTAAGAGTTGTTCAACCGTGGAACGCTTTGCCTAGTCATGTTGCGGAAGCTGAAAATCTTGCTAAGTTTAAGAGTCAGCTCAAGCTGCACATGAACTTGTTTTAATTAATTAATCACTAAATTATTATAATAACATTAATTTTCTCATTAATTTTGTATATATTAGTCGCTAGTTTTTATTATTTGGGGGATCTTATCATAGGGCTAACCTCTAGATTCTCCAGCAAGGACCTTGATACTTTCTTTATTATATTATTATTCCTATAATGTATTAAGGTACCTTGAATAAATTTCTTGATTGATTGATTCATCTTGTATTCTAAGGCCACGACGAGCTTTCGAAATACAGAAGTGGAATAAAAATTGGGATTTTCGTGAGCCAAACTGTGTGCCAAGGCATAGGACTCCTGATAAACACAGCGTCCCAAGCCTAACGAACACAAGAACACAGCGTCCCAAGAAGAACACAGCGTTCGAAGAAGAAGGAGAACACAGCATCCCAAGCCTAGCTGAGATAGAAGAACACGGCATCCCAAGCCAAGCTGTTCGAGAAGAACACGGCATCCCAAGCCTAGCTGAATATTTTGGACCAGCTGAACGTTTCGCAGAAGAACACAGCATCCCAAGCCTAGCTGAACATTTTGGAGAAGTTGACGGGCAAAAGCAAGGTTTGGTTAAACCCACTGCTACCAGGCATTTGTTGTTTATACGACACGGACAGTATGTGAAGGCTGAAGAAGATGAGAAGAAAGTTCTGACATCTTTGGGAAGGTTTGTTTGTTTCTAATTGTTCATTTTCATTTGCATGCAGCCCTGGCGGGGGGGGGGGGATGGAAGGTGGCAAGGTTTATAATGTCGAGGTCTTATAACCATATTTCTGATGAAGTGTGCATTGAAAACTATATGTTTTAAAAAAATATTTATTTATTGTTTTGCTCAAAATAACATTTGTGGGCGTGGCATCAAAAAGTTGTGTTACTTGTGAGATTTTACATTTGGCTGCCCCGCATAGGTTCTATTGTGGCAAAATGTCTCCAGTAAAGGAATTAGATGCATACATATTACAGCCAAGGCTGGATTTTGGTGACAATAGTGGGGGAGGTGGAAAAATATTTAGGGGAGGTGCATGCAGCGGTCCAGCTCACGACTCCCATGGGGTCTAGCTCACGATCCCCATGGAAACTTAGGGTTTAGAACGGGCCAAAGTCAACAACGTGACGTATGTATGTAGTGTACATACATGTATATCAGTGTATTAATCAGTTATGACTCTATAACTCATCCAATCATGCCCTTCATTACAATTGCTACAAAGTTTCTTTCAAAACATTGCATTAAAAGGGTACTTAAGGTGGCTCCCTGCACTTTTTTAAATTAAAGATTTTCTGATTTGGATATGATTTTCTGGACAATTATTACTTGTTTAAAAACAAAGAGTATCTGACTTGGCATAACACAATAACTAAAGAGTTCGGAATTTTTCACAAACTACTGCTAACAGCCGTTGCTATGGCAACAATGACATCACAACATGGCAGATATTATATGTTTAAAGTAATTTAACTCGTAAAAAAGGTCGGTTACCCCCATTTTTATTTCATAAAATAATTTCTATTGGAATTTTGAATAATTAAAATGTGAAAACTCATAATAATTTTTTTTTGCCATTACAGAATTTTTTAAAATCATGAAAATAATTCAAAATACTAAAATAAATCATTTTATGAAATAAAAATGGGGGTAACCGAACTTTTTTCGAGTTAAGTTACTTTAAACATAAAATATCTGCCATGTCGTGATGTATTGTTGCCATAGCAACGGCAGTTAGGAGTAGCTTTTTTCAAATTCCGAACTCCTTATTGTGTAATACCAATCGGATACTCTTTGTTTTAAAACAAATAATAATTCTCCAAAAATTCATATCCAAATCAGAAAATCTTTAATTTTTAGAAAAGTGTAGCGAGCCACCTTAACCCAGAGATGAATGGCTACAACTGTTTCAATTTTACAGAAAAAACTTTCTTACGAAGTGTAGACCATAACTAACCAAAAAATATTTTCACTTTGATCTATCATTGAAACTTTCCCAAGGGGAGGTGCATGACTTTTCAGGGGAGGTGCAAAAATTCTCAGGGGAGCTGCAAAAATTCTCAGGGGAGGTGCAAAAATTCTCAGGGGAGGTGCAAAAATTCTCAGGGCAGGTGCAAAAATTCTCAGGGCAAGTGCAAAAATTCTCAGGGGAGGTGTGCACCTCCCCTCAAAATCCGGCCATGCAAAACAATTACGTTTCACACGCAAAACAGCAAGTTTTGATTCACAAACTTCAGGGAAGAAACGTTTTGAAACCTAATAATAATAATAGCTAGGGCAGGCTGGCGTAATGCTCATTGGGTAGGGTTAGTTCAAATTACAGGGGTGGAAAAAGTATCGGAACCCAGAAATTTTTTTGAGTTGAGAGTTTTGCAGAAAATTTTCCGGAAAATATTTCAACATTTTGAGATAACTCTGTTTACTCAACTTACAAGTTACAACTATTCTACTTTATTTACGCTGTACACGCTAACATCAGCAGCTTTTAAATATTTGACAGAAATTAATTCTTTTACCCACCCCTGCCATCACAATGACTGGTAAAATGGTAAATATATGCTCTGCAAAGTCTCCAATAAAATGCAAATTAAATAGTAAACAAATAAAAGTGATGGAATAAATAAGATGATAGGACACTTAGTTAAGCGTTAGATCCTTACTATGATGCTTGTGATGTTACTCTGAGTGTGTATCCACACCGGGCAAGCTTGAAAAATATGCCTGTCCACGGTGGGAATCGAACCTATACGACCTTTGGAATACTAGATTACATTGATGCCGAAGGAACTAAACTCAGTTCCGAAATATCACATACTCGAACCGACCTGACCGCGTAGCTCAGTTGGCAGAACATTGGGCTAGTAATCCAAATGTCGTAGGTTTGATTCCCATCGTGGCCAGGCATATTTTTCAAGTTTGCCCGGTGTGGATATATACTCAGAGTAACATCACAAACATCATATTCACCTTAGTACATAACACCAACACAGAAAAAATCAAGATCCTTACTAGTTGGTCATAACTCATAACCGTGGTATATAACAGACAACTATTTTGATGTACAAGCGTACGAAAACCAGCCTAAAGCCCATTATTACTAAAGGACAAATAATACAATAATTATGCATTTTTGTTATTTTTGTAATTGTAACATTACAAATTTTACAGAAAATTTCTAGCCTTCGACCCAGGTTCCCAGAAAGAAAAAAACATTTTCCACCCCTGGTTCCAAAACTGAGGGCCCCCGACAGTTAGGGGCCCCATCAGCCACGGCCTATCGCCCAGAAAATTAGAAAACGTAAAAGATGCAGGTTAAGAATCAATGGGAAAATGCAAAATTAATAATGCTAAAGAATGAAACCTCCATCGACAACGGTGGCTGATTTTTTTATTCCCTCTCTTCGTCCGTTATGCCACTGAGGGCAGGATCTACAGATTCCAGTTGACCAATAACCTGATAACATAAACTTAGGTACAGGTACCATAGTATTCTATATAATAAGTTGTTGTAGTTTGTTGTGGTGTTGTTGATGCAACTATTTTGTGTCTGAACTACTTTATGTAGAATCTCAAATATGATAGATTAGCAGATATAAATTGTTGTATTAATATATGTTTTAATTCTCCAACTAAATTAGGCAACAAGCAGGAGAAACAGCCAACAGGTTAAAAATGTTACACTCAAATAATAACAAGATTGATAAAATTGTTGTATCATCAATGGTCCGAGCGAGGGAAACTGGTGAAATCATTCGAAACCAACTATCGGGCGTCCCATATGAATATTGCGACTTCTTAACAGAGGGTGCACCGTGCATACCTGAGCCACCATCATCGTCATACAAACCTGAAAGTTATGTAAGCATCAATATAAGTTTATTTTAAGTTCTTTGTATGTTTGCATGGCGATATAACATATAATAGTTTTGTTTGTGGAAACACCACGTAAATTTATTACTGCAAAGCTTTCGATCCGTAAGCCCGGATCTTCATCAGTGCTAATAATATAATAATAAATTTATTTTACTCGTCAAAGGGAGAGCGCTGGTGCTTAATGGGTGAATCAGACTATCTGCCTATGTGTCTAGTTAACCCATTAAGTTGCATTGAGCCCCAATGTGCCCTACTTTATCATTTCACTCTGTCTAACACCAGACGATTTTACTCGTCAAGGGGAGACAAAAGTCCCCAGCAAAAGGCACTTGGTATATTTTAACCTTGCGAAAATAAATATGGTTGATTTGGTCTAATTTCATTTTTTGAGGAGGAAAGTGCTCGTATTGAAGCGGCATTCAGAAAATATATCCACAGAGCTGAGCTGGAACAAAAGACTGACAGTACAGAGGTCTACGTTGGTCATGCTAATGTTATACGATACTTTGTGTGCAGGTAAGATTAAAGTACTGCTTTCATATTTCACTCATACTTACGCCCAGTTATTATACAAGGGGGCAGCAATTTTTGCAACTTGCAACACATTTCTGACGTGGAGCCGTATTACCTATAAGAAGTTAGTTGTTGCAAGGAATATGTGAGCATAGCCCGCCATTTACTCTGCTGACATTTTTTATCCCATTTCATTTTTCATCCCATTTAGCCTGCTGACAGGCTCTGCTTTTGCAGGCTAATGGAATTGCAGTCCATGCTAATATCTGTGACTACCTTTTTGATAACATGGCTCTATATCCAACACACACAACTAATTTACCATCATGCATTTGAAACGTCAACATAAACTTCAATTGCTTTGGAAAAGTATATGAAATAATATATATTTTTTATTAATCTTCTTTTGTTGAGCGCAAAAAAATTTACTACCAGTTTAGTAAAGAAAATTCTGTTTAAAAAAATGTTTATTTTATATTTTTGTGTGTTAGTGTTATGTATTCAGGTGAATATCCACACCGGGCAAGCTGAAACGTTTGCCTGACCACGGTGGGAATCGAACCAGCGACCTTTGAGATACTAGTATATTGTTTTTTATTTACTCAACAGCTTTAATATGGCAAGTAGATAATATTGACAACATTGTACATAACTTACATAAATAATTACATTGAACAAGAATATGGAGAATACTGAATAATAACTAACTTTAAAAAATTCATTAATAATTCACGAGGAAAATACAAAAGAAATGAATGTTTAATCAATGTTTGTAAATCGGATAAAGATTTGTCCTGATTTACATAAACTTCAGCTTTGATTTTCTCGACTTAGACAATGTTTATTTTTAAAATTACTTCGCCAATGAACTCATAGTATGGGTCATTTTTTAAGTACGATAAAACATTCGCTTCCGATCTGTATCTGATATACAAAATCTCGCCTTCGGATTCGATCGAAGGTACCAAACGTGGTGAAACACAAACGAGACTGGGTCCCATGCATGGTGCACACCACTAGATGAGATAGTATAGGAGAGCAAGAAAATATAGAATAGACAAATGGAAGGTAAATGGAGCTACAATCCTATGCAAAATAAACGATACACTCCATGCTCCCGCACCCTTCTCAATGTTGGTTAGTGATTGTTAGCAATGGGGGAAAGGGGGATAGGCCTTACAAAATCATGATGGCACTTTTTATTTTGCAAGAAATTGTAGGTAAGTCAGGGGTGTAGGCAGTATACCAGTTCGGTGGAGGTAAGTCTTGTGTGGGTATGATTTAAAGGTGGAGAGAGTGTCATGGCAGTTGGAAGGAGCAGATTTACATACATAGTTCCACAGTTTCACAATATTATATCAATTGGGCTGTTAGTACCAATACAAAAATATATTTATGATTTTTAGAGCATTGCAATTCCCACCAGAAGGCTGGCTGCGTATGAGTATAGACAACTGTGGTATCACTCGGCTCACTATCAAACCGAATGGTCATGTCAGCCTACAAAGCATGGGCGACACAGGTCATTTACATCCAAAGCTCATCACTCGAAATTGATGGTTTGATAAATAATGAAATTAGATTTATTTTCGTAATTGGTGGTTTTCAGTATAAGCCGTGATAAGATGGTTGTCCAAACTGTAAAGTTTTGGCTGTGGAGGAAATTAATTTCCTGCGCAAAACTTCTTGCAGTTATGAAAATCTGCGCAAATAATTTCTCAGGAATCTGCATAAAATGCGGCTTTGTGAACCAAGAACTAAGCATATTTCTGATCTTCCTTTGACTAAACGCTTTCTGACTGCAAGAACCCCTGGTTTGCCATAATTTTTTTGGGAAAATATCCATAATTTCTGCGTATTTTTCCCGAGGAAAAAAATAAATTTCCTTCGCAAAAAAACCTTTTCAGTCTGGGTGGTTGTGAACTTTAGACATGGAGAACATTTTTTGGATTAAGAAAATTATTAAAACCAGATCTTTAAATTCTATTTTGGGTCCCCGGGCCGGAGCAAATCAATTTTGAACGTTTTAAAAAAAGGAAGCCCCGCTTAGGTTGGTGTGATAAAAATCTCCAGCCTCGCTGGGAACTTTGCGAACAAAAGTTTCTGCCCCGCACTACCGTCAGTAAAGAAAACTTGTGCATCTGTGCTTACCGTAGACTTGCTTACCATGTTCAGCTAGAGGAAATCGCTGAAATGTGCTGGAGGTCTGACATTGTGACCCCTGCGGGTCTGAACTTCTCCTAAAGAGAATAAACCGCGCCCTGGTCTCTCACTTGTAGTTATTTGATCTTCTTCATCGGTGCCACACCTTGTGTGCCACACCTTGCAAGGCAGAAAAATATCTTTGTGCTCCGTTTCTATGCAGTTGCATAGCAGAAAAGCATCTGTGTGCCCCGCTTCTGTGCAGCTCAAAAAAAGTATGTGCCCCGCCCCTTTTGCTCCGGCCCCGTATAAAATAAATTTTGCATGGCTCCTTAATTTGATTCACATAATGAAAAATTAACTTTATCTTTTCACGCTGATAACCACCATTTTCAGATTATGCTTAGTGAAACTCATCTATATATTTACAGTACTAAGCGAAGAAAACTTGGTAATTTGTTACTATTGGTCGCACGAATTTACTAATATTTTGCATCAATTTATTTTAAGCCGGGAGAGCTGTACTTCGCTCGCACGAATCTCGAATTATTGTATTTATTCATAGTACCACATGCACCCAAGATCGCTGTAAATTGATCACATGAAATTAAAATGTATCAAATGCTTTCAGACGTTCTCTACAAATTATCTTCTACAGGGTGTAATAAAAAAACGAGACCTTTAGAAATCAAGCTTTGAATGAACACACAAAGAAATCAAGCTTTGAATTGAAAATTGGTGCATAAAACAGAACAAAAGTGAATTTTATGCATCACGAAATGATTTAAAACTTTAACTTGGTTTCGTCCAACATATGAATTGTGTGCTGATTAATTTAACGCAGCGTGTAAAACAGTAGAAACTCGTTGCTCTGTGATCACTTGAATCATTTTTATTCGAACCGATGATATGACTATAATTAGTAATTTCACTAATTTGACAATTTTTTATGCAGTTATCACTTATGCTCCTTCATACGACTGGAAGCTATTCTCAACACTCGTAATGATATGCGAAAACAAATTAAAGCTAAAACAAAGTTGTTATGAAACGTATTGCATATATTATGTGCATGGGTGACTGATGTAGCTATAAAGGTGCGGACAACACCCATGCAGACGCTCGCTCTTGTTCAGTTCCACATTTTGAGAGGCAAGTGGCAAACGACCCACCCACCCACAAATTCGGGTGAGTCGTGCGCCGCAATTCTAAGCCAAGCTTTCAGCTTGGCTTAGGACGCTGATCAATATTGCCATACCTTATCAAACTGAGCATGAATGCGAGTGTTGAGAAATAGTATACTATTTTAAATTCCTAGGAGCATAAACCGTATCCGGCTAACCAAGTTATCAGTTCATAAAACCATAGTGTTATTCAAAATACGAAATTTCGGAACGCTCCTTGCGTCTGCAGAATTCTTGCGCTCAGACAGAATCAATAGAAAGGGACTGAAACTGGAATGGAGCTCAATAGTGCCGGAGCAATTAAACTCTATCAGTTGTGAACTGTTCTTCCTAGAGGTCCAGGATGGGCCATCCTTGTTGATCCATTGTATAACTACGAGAGGAAACCTAGCTCCTAAATGATGAGTTTAACTATTCTGCGGGCTGCGGGCCAAAAAATGCGGGCTGCGGGCCAAAAAATGCGGGCCAAAAATTGCGGGCTGCGGGCAGAAAAATGCTAACACGATTGCAAGCCGCGGGTCTAGTTGCGGGCCTGACGAATTTTTAAAAAAATATTGTCAAAATGTAAAGAAAATAACAATATTATTCAAAATTTTCTGTCTTTGAAGTATATTCTATGTCTAAAGTTATTCGTAATCATATGCATACGAATTTTTCCTTAAATTCATTTTTTTTGTAATATCATGGAATCTCAGTTTATGAGTCGTACCAGACATTAAAACCTGTTTCGACCGGGATAACTGTACACCAATCCTAATAGTAGCACTATTTTCCATCCAGCAAACTGACCTGACGTCATTTTCGGAAGAGAGAAGAGGTGTTAAACCTGTTTTCCACTTCGACCGTATCGTAGCATTTTCTTTTGTGTTGAAATCATTAGTTCCACTCTAGCGCTCAGGAAACAAAGAAATACGCTACGTTTCGGTACACGGCAAAAAACGCCGAGCCCGCTGCTCAACAGGATTGAACAATGTTTTGCTGCCCACATTGTTCACACTTGTCAACAATATTGAACACTATTGTTGAGCCTGAATATTGTTCAATATTGTTGACAGCTATGAACAATGTGGGCAGCAAAACATTGTTCAATCCTGTTTTCATCAGTATTGCATCAACCTGAGCGTTTTTACGCGTGTAAGATACGCTTGAAGTGGAAAGCGGCCTTTAAATGGCTATGTAACTAACACAAACCCTACACCTAGTCCCTACTCTAACCCCTAACCCCAACCCTAACTCTAACCCTAATCGAATTAATAAAAAAATGCAAAAAAACGACTTTAGAAAATCGATAGGGCGGTTTGCTGGATGGAAAAAAGTGCTAACCGCCAAAATCATTGGAAAATCATAGGAAAAACCAAGAAATTGGGCTTCTGTATGACCCTTTCTGTGCCCTGGTTATAATGCGCTACCGCTTATAACTTTTGGTACAACTGGCCTGAAACTTAAAATATTGATTCAATAAGTTTAATATCAATATATTTATTGTAAAATAGCTATTATGTCAAAATAAGAAAACTTAAGATTCTCACGCGAATAGGCAATGTTTTTATGTAATATAAACAAGGTCAAGGTTTTATCGAAAGCGATTGACTGTTAGATTTCCTTTTATACTATTTTATAACTAAATAATGTTATTTCCTACAAATTTAGCTTTATTGTAGCTTTATCGAAAGTATAAAAAAAAAACACATGGAAACGGCGAATTACTATATATAGATTGAAAATAATTATTAAACTATGATTGAAATTATCGACGTAGAATACTATTTCGTTGTATTGGGTCGTTCCAGAAAAAATCCATACCCCCCCCCCACGGAGGAAATTTTTGCTGTCCGAAGGGGGAGGGAGGAAAAATGTCTTAGGATGTCCGAAGGGGGGGAGAGGAAAAATGTCTTAGGATGTCCGAAGGGGGGGAGAGGAATGTGGATATGTTTGTCTGAAGGTTTGAGACTGTGATAAAGCCATGTGATCGGCGATTATAATGAGCACGCAATTTTTATCGGCTATATATATGCAGCTCTTGAACACCGGAACGTTTATGTACATGTAACAGCAATAATTATACGTCCACGTAACTTGTAAGCAAAATAAGCGGCCCACTTTTGCATGCATGGCTACCAAAAACTAACTCGCTGTAACAGTGTATCCTGCATGTTTAGAATGAGTCGAAAATTGACACGCTTTATTTATATAGTTTGCAGTTTTCGTTCGCCATATATAAGGCCAAATAAAAAAAAATACTTGGTTAGCGTCACACTCTCAATTATTTTCAGAGGCGGGCGGGCGCTTTTTTTTTTAAATTTTTACTCGTTTTTTAATTTTTTAATAGTATTTTTTGGGGGGATGGAAGCTGTTTTCCCACCATATCGGTGAAATTTTTTGTACTGATGTTGCGAAGGCCGCCATTTTGCTGTAAGAACTTTGTATACCCAAGCCAACGCGCTCCTTCGATCAGTATATAGCGCGGACGTCTGAACATGAGAAAAATTTCAAATATTAAACTGTTTTAAGCTGTAAAACGAAGAAATTTACATAAAAAAAAATAAAAAAAAATTCAGAGGTGGCAGAAATTGAGAGGCGGGCGGTGACGCTAACCAAGTATTTTTTTTTATTTGGCCTAAGTTTGCATTATTCAAGTGTTAAAAATAATAGTTATTAAACTGTTGCTCTGAATGTTGTTAATAGTTATTAAACTGTAGTTTAAAAATATTAGTTAAACTGTTGCTCTTGTTAATGTGAACTGATCATTATACAAGGAGGAGATCCTGCTACGGGTATTTTCAACGGAAAATTTACGTTTGAGATGGCAATTTCCGCATGCAATTGAGATGTCATCGGTTCTGGTCGCACGCTTTCTGTAGTTTGAAATCGAAATCCTTGAGTTCTTTCGTATTACTTTTCAACTCGTCTGAATAATTTTGCACGACCTCAGCCTGTTTCTTGGCATATCTTTCTAGTGGTAATGCAATGCGCGGTGATTCTTGTTTACTTGTAGGTGAGTACTCTGGCGTTGTGTTTATTATAGAAATCTGAGGATTTGCAATGTTATTGATGTTAGTAGTATTTTGTAATAAAGTTCAGGCACCTTCTTTGAAAAACCTCGTCTGACTTACGTTCTTTGCCTGCAGAAACAGAAGTATTACTAAAGGCGACTCTGCAACAGCAACGCGAACAGAAATGGACGAAATGATTCCTTTATTCGGGAAAGAGAACATTTGTGACGAAAAATATTTGGTGGAAATGTCAACCTCAGAATTATCGTCGTCCACAATTGTCATTCTAAGCGCCACGGCTTCCAAAGAAATTTTCTTCAAATGAGGAACTTCTTTTAGCACCAACCCATGAAATCCTTCGAATGTTAATGATAATAAATCGTCGTTTGAAATAAAAATCGGGGTTATATAATATTTGTTATAATACTCTACTATTTGTTATAAGTAAGAGTTATAATACTCTAATATTTTTGTTATAATACTCTACTCCGTATAAACGTTATCCATCGTGTATTAAACAAGCGCTGAGTTCGCGAATAGACCACACCTTCCCGTGTGTATTTTGGCGCCACATTATTAAATTTAGCCTTAGCAACATTCGAAATTTCACTTAACGACACATGCGTTCAACCGCCGGAAGTATCTGCTTGTCATGACGTCATTAAACACTCAACTGCAACCGCAGTAAAGC